ATACACACATTGCCCCGACACACATACACTGCCCTGACACCATACACATTCACACACTGCCCCCCATATACATACACTGCCAACACACACACACATACACAGCCCCACATACACACACACATTGCCCCACACACCCTACACATTCACTCACTACACCCCCCCCACACACACACTGAACCTTTCACACACACTGCACCACTCACACACACCACTGCTCCTATGCCCTACTACAGCCTCATATCATAGCAGACCCCAGGTAAGTTGTCAAACTGTTCTCAAACTGTTTGACTACTTACTTTCAAATTATTTTTAACATTTACTTAGTCCTTAAAGGACCACTATAGGCACCCAGACAACTTCAGCTCAATGAAGTGGTCTGGGTGCCAGGTCCCTCTAGTTTTAACCCTGCAGCTGAAAACAAAGCAGTTTCAGAGAAACTGCTATGTTTCACTAAGGGTTAATCCAGCTTCTGTTGCTGTCTCACTGACAGCTGCTAGAGGTGCTTCCGCGATTCATACTGTGAATGCGTGCACTGAATTCGAGAATGCGAGAATTCCCCAGAGCCGAGGGAGCCCGGCGCAGGAGAAAGGTAAGTGGTTGAAGGGGTTTTAACCCCTTCAGCCCAGCGGGAGGGGGGCACTATAGTGCTCCTTTAATATTTTGTCTTGAAGGGCCCTGGATCTAATTTTGTCCGGGGGCCCAGGAGGCTGTCAGTCCATCCCTGCTTACAAGTCGTGAAAAAGGAAATCTGGGGAGTGACCTTTAAATAACTTCAAAAAGTCAAATATATGATCTGTGGCAGGAAAACTACTTTCCAGCATGGATTTTTGAAATAACTGGTTATTTAAAAGAGGGCAGAGGTTCATCCGAAATTGTATGCAAGCTACATTTCTTTATTGCTAATACATTTTAAAATAGTCTCAATAGCAGTGTAGTCAGAGGAGTACTTCTCAATTAATGTGCAGTCGAGCGGATTTAATGCATGATCTGTGAACCAAATGCTCCCAAATGAAAAACCAATTGAGCATCTCACCCTGATACTGGACATTAAACATCTGGATATAAAGCTATTTTTTATTTGACTAATATTTTAGAAATCAGTTGTTATGTGCGGCATAGACTGGTACAAGCATACGTATTCCAGTGGACATTATTATTATGGTCATATGAAAGCTGAACATAGACCATATTATTTAAATGGATGACTAGGAAGGTCATAAAATAAATAGTTATTTTGTGTTGGTGCTTCTTATATTTTAGTGCAAGTACTGATTTATTTATTTTATGAGAAATTAATTTTTTAATTGTTAATGTACAATGCACTACAGGTTAAATAGCATTATTTTTATTGATAAAAGATTGCCAATATTTAAATGCCATTATAAAAGTGATATTAAATATAAAATACTGATAGTAGGGTCAGATGAAGACACGCTTTACATCTGACTTTTCTTGCTCTGTGTAACTTTTTCTTTATCCTTCTTGTAAAAACAAAAAACAAATGTACATTACATACCCTAATGCAATCTGTTGTGTTTTTTTTTTTTTTTCAGGAGTAAAGCCTTGAAAACAAGGGGTAGTATGAGATCAGGCATACATTTGGTGTATGTGTATGAGAAACTCTTGATCTCATCTACCACAACCATAGGACCCCCAAAGAGCAGGGAAAGAGCCCCATTTGCCCTTTTCACTTGGTGCTAATTTTTCTCAGGCCCTCTCAGAAAAAATATTTGACAATGAGAGTCCATATAAGCAACAGAGTATTAGTTTTCCTTATTTATCCACATTCTGAACAAAACACACATAACATACTTTAGCTACATGAAACATCACAACACATCCCTATAGCTTATAAATTACGTTCTCTATCCTCTGGCAGAAAAATACAAGGAAAAAACAATAATTCAAAACCATTACCACCAGATCCTTCTAAATAAATCAATGAAATTGTCATAACATTATTTCTTACAAATAATAAAACATGAAAATACATATAATGGGCTATAGAAATAACTGTACTTAAATTGACATGCAACAATGAGTGAACAGTAACACCAAAACAGTAACACAGTAGTGTTAAAAAAATATATATATATAAAAAAAAAATATATATATATATATTAAATCTTTAAATGAGTGATAATGTATATGATTTAAAAATAAAACAAAACTTGTACTGCTTGTTATGCACTTCTTTCTTACATTGTGTCTAATACTTAATTGTATTTTGCTGAATGCGCAGACGTGCAGTTATTGTATGGATATAAGACAAAGTAATGAATAATTAAATATGCTAATGAAAATTAACCCTGTAAAGAAATACGTAGAGCTATAATTAGAAACTCTATGGAAAATACCCATGAGTCTAAGAGATAATCTTACTATGTTGCTACGTGATGATATAGAATAGCAATACTTATAGAAAAAGGTATAAACACAAAGAAATGCTACACAACCAAAAATGAAAAATAACATAAAACATATAAGTAAAATATGTTGTAATAATTATGAAAATATTAACTTAAAATAAAAAGCTAACTGCCAAGAGATTAGGACCTAAAAATAATAATAATAATAATAATTATAATGGAAAATATATGCAAACAACAGAAAACACCTATGATCAAAACAAACACCTACTTCAAAAGGCACCAATGTACGTACAGTACCAATGAGTACAGTAGGTTCTCTTGTGATATTCTTAAACGTCCAAGCAGTTTAATCGATACATTATTTTGGATGTCCTCTATTGAAGAATCTTATTTTCTTGTTAACCGGGAGAAAAAAAATTCTTTCAAAGTCTTTTACTGTTGTTTTGAATAAAAAAGGCCTGAACAATGTCACTGACAAATTAAGAATTTGTCAATCAAATAAAAGGCATGTTAGCTGAGAGCATTTTATCTGGCTGAGCACAATATCTATGAACCTGAATGATGGTATGTCTAAAAAAAACAATTGGCCCAAGCTATTATTATTTTCTGTTTTGGTCATGGACCATGAGATACAATTAAAACAATGATTTGGTTAACAGCTCAATAGGACTACAACAATGTTATTTTACACGCTGTGTATTGTCAGAGATAAATTCATGTGAAGTTTTACTTTTCATGCATTTTGTGGAAAATGATTGATTGGATCCTGCAGAATGATCTTGCACATGTCTAGTGAAAGGTCTGTGCAGTAGTCATTAGAAGCATACTTTGAAATGGACTTAAATGGCCATCCTTGTAATAGAGTAAGGACCTGAAATTGACCATTTAGAGTGTGTTAGCAATGGACCTTAGAAAAGTGGTGTGGACTTTTGAACTTGTTATTGACATTTGTGAATAATTCTGTAACAAGGCATTGGTGATGGCTCTTCAACAAATTTTTCAGAACCTTGAAGTACAAACAAGCTAGTAGACTGCTGAGAAGGACACTGAACTTATCTAAATATCCAAAGTGAGAAACTGCACTCCATTAACCAGTGTCACTTTTAAACAAAGTACGAGATATCCAAAAAAAACTCGATGCTCCAGATACACTTAATAGGCAGAAGAAGATTTCTAAGAACTCAAAATCACAAGAGTCTTTATTAGAACATTACAGACTGGCATGTGCTACTCATGGCAAAGACCAGTGTGTAATGATCCAATAAAGGCTGCAGTGATTTAAAACCAGTGCCTAGACATCTTCTTCTGTATATTAAAGGCACACTGTAGGCACTGTAACTGTAATTGCTATTGTCTTTCCAGTCAGCACTAAACAATTTTTAATGGTTTAATGCTACACAAGAGCTCCCAAAAGCCCATCCACTCTGTGTTGCTTGGATGAAGGAGGAAGCATTAGCCTGAGTAGCCATGGCTACTCAGCCTATCACAGTGCCCATTACTGATATTAATGGATATAGCTGTTTAAACTCTGATTTAACCATACCTTCTTTGTGGGCTTGGATGTGGGTAGTCAGGGACCATTATTTCAATCTAAATTGCTTGAAACTGGTTTAGCACTGACTAGAGGGGCAGTACCAAAGGACTCTATAAACAATTCAATGAGATGAAATGGTTATAGTGCTGTTAGGCTGGAAAGCACCACAGGGTCTTACGCTGCCATTGCCTTACGCAATAACAAAGAAGATCTTTCTGCTTTCTCTTATCCCCGTAATCAGCTGCTGGGAGTAATCAAAGATACAGTGTCCCTTTAAAGAACAGTCCTTTCCATTATATATTTTGTGCATCAATATACAGAACTCATTGCATCTATAATATTACTAGGAATGCTACTTAGATACTACAATTTTAATTGGTCTTATTAAACACCATTCATTTCCGGTTGGTATATAATTTGTAATTTT